ACCATCACTGGAAGGCGGCGAACACAGTCCTATGATATCTTAAAGGAACAAAGGATCTGAGCCTAGTGTACTCTCGAAGCAGCGAACCTCCAGTGATATACACTGATGCGGACTGACGCAACTGTTATATATGAACAGGAAGGCCTACACTGGATATGTTTTCTGATTGGTGGCACAGCAGTCAGCTGTGAACTGACGAAGCAGCAGTCTGTGGCACTTCCCTCAACAGAAGCTGAGTGTATGGTGCTGTCAGATGCGACTAAAGAGGCTATTTACATGAAAAGGTTATTAAAAGTCTCGCAGTTGACCTGGAGACCATCGTCTCAAAAAAACAATAACATTAGCACACCAAAGCCATCGGTGAATCCAGGTTTCCACGCTCGCTTCAAACACGTGGATATAAGGTATCATTTCATTCGTGACGGCGAGAAGAAGAAAGAGATTGCTATTGAGCACGTACCTACTGAAGAGATGACAGCGGACATCCTAACCAAGGAGCTTACCAGAGCTAACCATGAAAACTGCGAAAACAGTCCTGGGATATGAGACGCGAGTGTTCATAATTTTCATTTTATAAAATAGTTGAAGTTCGAGGGGGAGTGTTAGTGATTTGCAGATTCGTCCGTGACATTATTTTACACAGGGTTAGTCACGAGAAAATTACTTCTGAAAATTATTTTTATTTTATCCTATATTGTAACCATACCGATAACACGTTGACAACGAGTTACGTTAAGGCATACTTTACATTACTAGTACTGTTAAGAATTTTCATAACAACACTAGTGTTGTTATGAAATCATAATCTTCACTGACATTTTCCCTTCAGAGCTGTTGACATAAATATTAAAAAACTATACTAATTCCGAAGCGTCTGCTAATAGTAATTAATCTATCTATGGTGTATTTTTTTCTCCAGGTCTTAAAGTTTACTACCTCTTTGAGATGCCTGCCAGCTGTTTTTTTGCCTTGCAGCAACGGCCTTTTATTTTGGAAGTCATTCTCGCATTTACAAAATCAGAAACAATCGTTTTTTCAGTGTAAACAACTAATACCGTGGCTACCAGCGCAGGCATAGCTGACTGATTTTTCGTGCGCTTTGAACTTTGTCGTTAAAAATATTTTTGTTATAGTTTTAAATTGTGATTATAGGATAAAATAAAACGTGTTACGATGCACGTAACCTTATCTGGTTTTACATTACTCGGAAATTTTAAAGAACGAGGGGCTACCGCCCCTCGTTCTTCAAACATATTCCTCGTAATGTAAAAACCCTAATAACGTTACTTGTATCGTAAACTACTATTACGCAACGCAAAATACTTATATCCAGTACCACTTGAAACTATCTAAATTTAAAATGAAATGCTTAATGTATAATTGCTTTGACATTGGCAGTGGCATTTTGACAGTTGCGGAAAAGGAGATTACGCGAGTGGTCATGGGTGTACCGATATTCAAAGCCAGTGCCGATATTCGGATATAATCTCCACTGGTACCGCTAATAAATTTGTCAGGGCCTACTTCGAGCGCCTCTTAAGATCTTTTGCAATGATACGGATTGGTCACGAAAGAGTTATTTCTAAAAATTACTTTACGGGTACGACATAAACTTAAAAAGTAATTAAATAATATACAATAACAGTTGAAAATGTTGGCCATCTACTAATAGACATGCATTGGTTCTACAGGGTGATTTCGAAATATATGCAATAATTTTAACCACGGCATCACGTGCTGTAGTAGAAAAAATAAATTAAAAATCGAATGGGGCAAAACCTCCATGCACCACGATACGAAGTCACTGATCCACCTTTTAAACAGTAGGTGAAAAAACGTTCGTAAAAACGCTGTAAACACTTTCGGTTTCAATTAAAAGTAAAACCGACTTTTTGCTGCTTATCATTCGTTCATTCATCGTTAAAGGTCAGTGCGAAAGATTATTCGTTGTAGAAACAAATGGTGATCCTGAGAAGGACCGATTTTTGGTAATGCTTCATGGTGATCGACTTTTGAATCTGACGGATGTTTGGTCCTTGCCACAACGATTTTACATTGCTTATTAAAACAAAAATAAGAGCAACTTCGAATGCTACTACTTGTTCTTACAAGAAATGTTTAAAATGTTGTCTTTGACTAGCAATACAGGTTTCAGAACGTCGCAAAATGTTTGTTGATAGGTAAAAAACCACCGGGAGTTCGACGAACTGTAGCGTCTACAACTTCCACTTGTTATTGAAGCTCTTCGATAGTTTCTGGATACTGTTGATTTCCATAAACCAACTGTTTCATCCAACCGATACCGGCCCACACATTTATGGAAAACCGTCGTTGAAATCGTACTTCTTGACGAGCGTGTGGATTTTCATCGAACCAAATGTGAGTGTTGTGGCTGTTGAAAACAGGATTGCGAGTGAAGGCTGCTTTATCCGTAAACAGAATCCACTTTAAAAAGTTAGGGCATTCATGACACTGCTGTAAGAACCATTTGCAGTAAATTACACAACGTGGACAATCAGCGGATTCCAAACCCTGCACTTTTTGAACATGGTATGCATATCGCTCTTCTTCGTCGCGTTCCAAAATCTATTCTCCAGCTTGCAGTATTCTTTCTGTCCTATCACGGCCACGATCGTGAGTTTCAGTTTCTTAGAGCTGATGTACCACTGCACTGGTGCAAATGTTCGCACACACCATAAAGCATTACCATATCGACACACTCTAAATTGGAAAAAATCACCATAAACTAACTTGACCCATCGCTCGCTAGCCCTTTTCGTGTGTTTGCACGTTGTTTGTCAGTCGCTTTTTTGGTTCTTAATCCGAGTCGTTCTGTGCTATTCACTGAAAGAAGTAGGTCAACAAATACTACCAGCGGCGTGTATAACAATCTATATTTAATTTCAAATCATTTTTTCTAGACATTGCTACCACTTGGAAACTTTACACAGCTCAATAATCTTATTGTTAGCTAGTTATTCCCCATTTTTTTTTATTGCACATATTTCGAAATCAGGCTGATGATCTTTTAACGGGCTGCAATGTTTGCTCTGCACTCCAGGTGTATTCTGTTTTTTAAAACTTCCATAATTAATAGTGGCATCTCATATACCTTTTCTTTTATAACTCTCTACAGAAAAAAATCCACTGATGTCAAATCGGAGCTTCGAGGTGGCCAGATATTATTCTCGACCTATCCAATGATCCTAAACGTTTAATCTAAATATTCTCGGACAATTGTGTTGTAGCCATAAACTTTGTCTCGTATTTAGATCAAGATCTTCTAACAGTAAAGGCAATTTGATTTGTAAAAAATTTAGATACATTGTGCCATTAACAGTACTATAAAAAATGTAGGACCCAATGACATGATAATTTATAATACCGCACCAAACGTTAACTGAGACTGAGAGTACATGTTGGAAATGTATTTCTCGAATCCATCGTGGATTTTTGTGCATGGTAGTGGTAATTGTAGCGGTTTACTTCCCCGTTATTGCTGAATCTGGTTTCGTCACTGAATAATACCTGATCTAGGAAATTAGGATATGCATTTAGTTTTCGTTGGATAAAATGACAAAACTACACTCTCTTCGGAAAATCTATTGGTTTTAACACTTGCACCAAGGTTATGTGATATGGGCGAAAGTTATTTGCATGGCGAATACGGCCTACCGTTGACTGACTAATGCCAATTTGCGTAGCCGGTAAAATTTGAACTATATATATGGGGATCTTCTGTGACTGCTTCAAGCATCGTAATCTGATTATCTGGACCAGTATAGCATTCCTTTCACGGTGTCGTTTTACCTTAGGCTAGGCTATTTTAGCATAATGTTGCTTCTAATTTTCTAAAAGTTTGAGATACTGGATGACTTCGATGCGGATATCTTTGAAGAAATAGCGCTACAGCACCCACAGCATTTTTTTGATATTCCCGTAGAAGAGGATCCTGTCTGTTTTCTCATCATTTGTGTAAGACATTGTCACGGGTTTCTTCACTCAGTGAGTAGGGGAGCCAATAACGTCTCACTGTAGTGAAAAGTTTCTACGAAATTTTCTTTCGTAGTGGGGAGGGGCATGCTACGAGGTTTTTGTAAATGAGTGCTCGAAGAAGCCAAGAGGCTGCAGATTTGCATTTCGAAGAGGTTCTAGGTGACGCAGAGATGGCGAACTAACACATGCACATTAGTCTAGAATAATATGGGTAGAGCATTATGGCTACAATATAGCGCAGATTGATAGAGGTACGAAGATCCAATGGGGCTGCAGAGCGGAGTAAACCATGAAAAAGAAATATCAAAAACTAACCAACGTCAAAACGACAGTGCCAAAGTCAAAGCAATCATGGATTAAGCATTTCATTTTAAATTCAGATAGCATCAAGTGGTACAGGGTATTAGTATTTTGGGTTGCCTAGAAATAATTTTCAGAAGTAATTTTCGCGTGACCATAATAATCTCTGCATATGTTGCCCTTATGTTGTGCGTTGCAGATTGAGTAAGCGTAGAAGGTTGATATTGATTCGTACACTTTTGACCAATATTTTATACACTGTATTTATGAGATTTTTCAAATACACCTTCATTTTGTTCCAACACCGATCATCGTAACAATAGTTATATCACATTACACAATGGAAGTTATTACTATTGCTGTTCAGATTTAAACTGTGGTTAACAACGCATAAAATCCACAAAAAATGTATTGCGTGATGCTGTAAATTTATGTAAAACACCCCGAATTTTTCAAGAAGAGCCAGCTGCAGTTAAACAGTTTATTTCTCTACTAAACTGAGGCACACAATGATCTAGTTTATCATTCATTAAATATTTAGGACACATTTTTTTACTTTTATAGTGTTTCAAATTGTGGCGTCAACCTTTGCAGTTGTAACGAACAGTTTGGATTTTATTAAGCAATAAATGCCACTGTACTAAATGCTTTTTCTACAGTTTTGCATATTCAGAGAAAGAGGGGATATGCACTTAAATATGTAAGCAGAAAAGAGAAAATAATGTGTTAGCTTAATGAATATTTTATATAGATAAGTCTAAATAAAACAATTCAACTTTTTGCTAGGACATCATTAGAATACATCAAAAAACCTAGAAGCGTTTTACAGTTATTCACTATATTTATGACGTTTTGCCTGAGGCTTTTGTTATGGTTTTAGTCATTCTTACTATATAATCGTTGAAGTACTGCAAAATAGGAGTAAGACGATTTGAGAACCTATAAAATTAAAAACTGCGATTTGAGATATAAAAGTATCATGAAACATACTGTCATAAGTGTCGTAAGAGTAAGGGAAAACAATTTTCCAGCAGTCAGAACCAATGGTCTTTTACCCCTTTCCATAATAATATAGAGACTTGTACAAATTTCAGAGTTACACATATTCCAATCAGACATATAACAAGCCTCTGACAAACCCATACTCTAAAATAAAATTCCCAACTAATACTTCTTTTAATATGAATTTATATACCTTATACATCAGCTCATTTCCATACCAGCAATACAGCACAATCTGACAAGTCATGGTGGAAAAATAAATCATCAGTAAAATAAACTGCATGCTTTTCACAGAAATCTAAAAACAGTTTAATCCAAGTAAAATAGTTAACGACAAGTAAGACGTACCAGCAGCATTTGGAATCCAGTGAGACAGATAACCATAACACTTGCGGCAAACTGTACTAAAATACCATTACTGAAGAGACTTTCTACTTCTTTCATGTATCTGTTACCAATATTGAAAACATTAACACACACAATATTATGTAAACATTACTTACTGTAAAAGAAAATTGTGATACATAATGCAATTATTTAATCTCTTTTTTACAATTTTTGAACTTATTTCCCAACGTTCATCGACTTTCATCACAGTCCGTAACCTTTCTTTTAAAATATCAAACTGGGCAGAGGCCAAAGTAATCAAGATTGTAGGTAAAATATCTAAAGTAGAATTAATAAAAGCTCCTATTCCAATTCCAATAGTTTGGGCCGCTACCAGCTCATACTGATACGTTTTAATATCAAAAGGAAACCATCCTGGTAAAGGTAGCATGTGTTCAGGATCCTCGTCAATAAACGGGAACATTCCATAAAAGGCTACTGTAAGAATACACAAAACTCTAAACAATCGTCCGAGATAAGTCACTTCAATTATATAGTTGTCTAAAACTACCATCTCGGAGTGACTTAGGTTAGTGAGAATCGGACTTGTTAGTATTTCTTCAATTTTAAACATTTTTTTGTTTTTGCTTAAAAAGTTAGTAAGTTTGCATAAAAACGCCGCTTGTGTCATACAAAAGAGAAGTGTTTCGGAAAGTTTTGTCAAATTATCTTTTTCTACGAATAAAACGGCAACCATCGAAAAAAATTCCGTCCAGGAGTAGACAAGCATAAATATGCCAATAAGAATAGAAGAGATTTTTATACTTGAAGAAGGATAAAAATATCCATAAAGAAGATATCTTTTTTCTGTCTGAAATGTTCGAATAAGGACTTCCTAAAAATTACAGAAGCATTAAGAAGTTGAATTGTTAAAAAACTTACTTTAGATGCACATTCCATGATTGACAGAAGAAAAATGAAAGTGATTAGTGACTGTGTAAAGACGGTGGTAATTATAGAGTATCCTATGATGTAATTAAGTACTAATTAATTAATGTAACAATATGAACAGGTATTGCTCTGCAATTGGTTTTTCTTAAAAATTCAATATTTATATCATTATGAGTATCTAATGAAATTTGAAACTGTTTATTTTAATTATAGACTATTTTCTTTCTCTTGTTTATAATTAATTACTACCTACTTACAGCTTCACGTAATTACAGTCTTGTTTGTTTTGAGTTTACCGTTGCTAAGATTAAATGCAATTTTTTAAGTAATCTTTATTAAATTATTTTAACAATAATATATTACAAAACTTAAGTTTAATGAATTTAATTTTCATTTACGTTTAACCATTCTGCAACAGAATTTAGATGTCTCTCTCTCCAACTGATTCTGATTTTTATAGCATCAACAGCTGCCTGCATTAGACTTGCTACTGATTTTAAATCTTTTTGATGAAGTTTGTAAAACTGTGTCAACTAAAAAAAAATGTGTTCAGTTATTGCAAAGAAGGACTAAAAAGCATTTACATCTTGTAGATCAATCTCCGTCGACAGATAAGCTAGGAAATCTTGACATATTGAGTTTAACACCAAATATACATCTTCATATGTTTTGTACACTCTTTCCCAGTTTAATCTCAAAAAGTGAAAGCCTGTTCGAATGCCTACAAGATGATTAATAGATTCCCAAACGTATGGAATATACTCTAAGGTGATGTTGCCACTTAAAGAAAGTTCGAGGTACCTACAAATTTTTTAAGTATCTATTATTATTTATGATATTATATTATAACATATACATATATCCAACTATCCCCAGTAGCACAAAATATTTATTAAATATGTAAAACACAATATTTATGTACGTAACATATTTTCGACAGATTTTTAAATATGTAATAAAGATCATTTTCATTTCAACAATACTCGTACAAACTGCTCCATTTTTTTTTAAATTAATGTCGTTCATTTGCCTCATACATATGTTACGTGATCTTAACTTCTAAGGTGACTACTAGAGATGCTACTGAAACATGTGCACAAAAATGATAATCAGAGTAACAGATATATGATTTGCCTCATCATCAAATTATACATTTCAAAAAAATATATAACACATCTCATGAAAAATGAGCATGTGTTTAACATTTTAAAATAAATATAATTCTATAAGATTTCTCGAATATATTATAAATATTACTACATATTTAACAGGGTGATTATTTTATCTTTAAAACTTTCGTGTAGGCACACAGATTACACATATCTTAAGCAACTTTGATCAGTCTATTAATCTTTTTAAATTAGCAATCATAGTAAATGCAACAACAACAATGACCTCAAGGAACTAATAATGGCAAAATTCAAATAAAATAGAACGTAATTTCTTCACTCCTTAAACGAATATAAAGAAAAGAAAATAAATAAATAGGTATCCTATAATAAGTCCTCAAAATATCTTCGCGCAAAAGATCTTGATTTTGAATTGGAAAGGCTGAAACGGCATGGGTGAAATCGATTTGCCCTCAGGATGTTAAAAACCGAACTCTGAATAATCTGCATTTGTCTTGCGATCGGCCGTTGACACACGGTGAGGATTTATCATCTATAATTTCAATCAGGGAAGCTTTATTTTCTGGCGTACTTACTGTAGGACGTCTAACTTTAGTTTTCTTAAATTGATCAACTGCTCGTAAGTTTTTTTCGAGCCTTCTAAATGCTTGGTTAGAAGGAATTGTATCATCTGACATGTAGACGAACGGCAGCATCGAAAGTTCCATCAGACTTTTCCAAAAGTTAAAAGCATATCGGTGGTTTTTTCGGAATTCGAAAACACTGTTAGCAAAAGTTGAAAATAATTTGACTGCTAGGATTAATTTATCATAATTTTGGACCAATTATTGCTGTCTACACGTTATTTATTAATTAAATTAAATTAAGACGAAGTCGTTTATGGAAAGTAAAATGTGTGGCGTGAACAGATAAATTAATCACACTGTATTAGAATAATACGAACTAAACATAGAAAAAATATTTGATGTTACTAAGAATATGTTATTATATTATTACGGTAATCTTACGTCCAATTGGCAAGCGCATTACCTATGTTACAATGTAGTCAAATAATATTTTTTGTGGTCGAGTAGTCTGATAATTGCCTTTTGTCACACTACAATTTGTTTATAATCCGTCACATTACGGCACGATTTCATTATTACACGATTTATAGTGCCATAAAGAGGTGTCATGGAAACAAAATAGTACACTAGGGATTTTTCACGAAACATTGAAATTGTTTGAAAAAACGTCATAAATTGTCATTTTTATTTTTATTAAACTGAGAATATAATTCATGTATCACATGACCCCATTTCTTCCAATAGAATTTGTTCATGCCCTTAGTTACATGTCTATCACAGCGATAATAATTTTATTGCCTTATTGTGGTCTGTTGCTACCTAAATTTAAAAACTGTCAAATTGACGAATTTTAGAATTTCATAAATTTTTTTGTCTTTTATGGCTTGCCAACGTTGGAGGCAAGCTCAAAACGACGAAATGAACTCTATTATCAAAAAATGCGTTCATTTATTATATTCTCATGTTGAATATAACTCGTGATATGATTAATAATCGAAGATATGGCTCGTGAAACCGAAGCAGCACATTCAACTCGTGCTTCGCACTCGTTGAATCTGCAGCTCGGTTTCACTCGAAATATTATCGATAATAATCATATCACTTGTTATATTATATCTGAATATAACTCGTGATATGATTAATAATCGAAGATATGGTTCGTGAAACCCAAGCAGCACATTCAACTCGTACTTCGCACTCGTTGAATCTGCAGATTTCGGTTTCACTCGAAATATTATCGATAATAATCATATCACTTGTTATGTTATTATAAATGAAAATAGAATTGAGATTTGAAATTGGAATTGAGGTTCCATTATAGCTACTTCGACCACAAAATAGCGTATGACATTCGTTTCTAATGCGGGATTATAAACTAATATAACATAGTATTATGGTAGGAATAATTTTTAACCATTACTGCTTGTCAAAATTTACTATACATGGTGGATAAGATAAAGTAATTTTACAAGTATAAAATCTTGCTAAATCTGATTTTTTATAACCATAGCGTTTTTACTTTTGAGATCCCAGTTCACATAAATTTTCTTCTGTTTATTGCTAAATGTAGTAACTTTTTTAACTCACCTATTTATAAGCCAAGGATCATGGGTACATCCTAAACTCAAATAAGCAGTTTTCAAATCAGCCGTTGAAATCTGCGGTGACAAAGTCCTATTCCACAAAAAGTCCCATTCTTTCAAGCTTCCTATCTTAATCCCTATACATTCCACAGTGGAGCGATACTCGTACGGTATCCTAAAATGTTTTTTTTACTTCATTGTCTGCACAGTATTTTGCAATCCTTACGGATTTTTATTGTCTGGATCAGCCTGTTCCATCCAAGTCGAAAATTCACTTTGTGCCCACTTTAAACACGACTCAAACCTAAGCTCACATGCTACTTGTATCAACTTCCATCTCAAAATTTTATCATTTTGGCTTTCATTGTTTTTTTCTTTTGTACCAAGAGAATCAAATTTGTATTTAATGAGATTTGTCATGTATTTTTCAAAAGCTCCAGTGTACTCATAATTGTTTATGATGAATCTGATCTCCGCCAAGCTATTTAGAGCAGTGAGCCAAGGACTATAGTTTGATTCTTTTCTGGTCAAATATTTTGTTAAGCTTAGCGGAATGCTGTAATTTATTATGTCCATTTGAGCTAATTCGAAAGCATCATCAATCAGTTGACCACGACTAGCCACAGGGATTTCTCCAGGGTTGTGGAACAGTTGTTGGATTAAGAGCTTCCAGTTATAGATGTCGTAATTTACACGAAAGTATCCTAAAAAATATGAAAAAAGTTCTGGCACACATGAATAATATTCTCTTAGAATATAATTGGTTTATAAAGATTTTTCGAAGATTACTATAAATATAACATACATATAAACTAAAAGTGTAAAGGAAATTTACACTGTGATAAAGATTTTATACCGAAAACAACAAAAATTTTCGTACATAGAACGCAAAAAATGCATTAATGCCGTACTACTTTTGCGTCTTCGGTTTCAAACTAAAGTGATATAAAAATTAACAATTCACATGATATGTTGACATTTCCAACAATTTTAGCAAACTACTCCTACAGAATATCGACAAATGTGATTTCAATCATACATAAAAAAAAGGAATGTCCCATCCCAAACCACTAATGATAGAAATTTTAAATTTGGAGAGGATGTTCATTTTATACTGGAGGCATCGTTTAAGAAGGGATTTCTCGAAATTCATTCCCTAAAGGGGTGAAAAGGAGTGGTAAAATTTGTATTGGAAAAATATTTCTACTGTAAATTTAAATTTTTACGTGAAATTTCGTATTAATGCTCTTCACACAAATCATGAAACACGTATTTCAGCATTTTCCGAGATTCAACCCCTAAGGTGGTAAAAAGGGGTGTGTATGGGAAAACATATTTTTATGGTAATGTTTACTTAAAACCTAGTATTAATGTTCTTCAACACAAATAATGAAACTGGTATTTAAGCATTTTCTAAGATTCAATCCCTAAGGGGGTGAGAAGTGGTGGCTATAAGTTTGTATGGGAAAAATATTTCTGTTGTAAATTTAAATTTTTACGTGAAATTTGGTATTAATGCTCTTCAACAAAAATAATGAAATACGTATTTAAGCATTTTCCGAGATTCAACCCCTAAGGAGATGGAAAAGTAGTGACGAAGTTTGTATGGGAAAAATATTTCTATTGTAAATTTAATTTTTTATATGAAACAATGTTGTTCAACACAAATAATGAAACACGTATTTCAGAGTTTTTCGCAATTCCACCACTCAGAAGATGAAAGGAGGTGACAAAGTTTGTGCGGTGAAAAATATTTTTATGGCGATTTTTAGTTGAAACTTGCCCTTCAACACATTTTTTACTTAAAGGTTGGTAATAATGCTCTTCAGCACAACGAATCGTCTACGAGAGCGAAGCCGCGGGCGAGAAGCTAGTCATACATAAAAATCTACAGATTCATGTTTTCGACTTTCTAGCACTCGAAGTTATCAACAGAAAACTGGTACCTTGAAAAATACATGTGTACAGAAAAGGGCGAAAGAGAAATCTAATCAAAAATGGGCGCATTGGATACTGATGTGTCAACGACTGAATAAAATTCTTAATGCTCACCTGCTTGGTCAACGTTAAACAAAACCCAGGATGAATTTCCATTTTCAGTTATATTTGCTAAAGTAATATTTCTTTGATTTTTTAACCATGCATATTTGATGACATCATTTGTAGTTGTATAACTTAGCGGTATATACCAAAGGGTATTGTTGTTAATGTTATCTTGGATAAAAATCTGCTGAGTGATTATGGCTTCCCCATTTTCATAATTTCGATCTACAGTTAAATAAGGATACCCTTTTTGTTTAGTCCACGATTCCATAAAAGTTTTCACAGTAACATCCGCTGGGAGAACCGAATGATTTTTGGCAATGTCCGTCAATGACTTCCATAAGGTATTCTGATCAGTTGACTTGAATGATCTATAACTAAATGCAAAAAAATCTCTTCTTACTAAAAATTACCAACATACAAACTCTTCAAGTAATATTGCAAACCCTGTCTGAACACAGGTCTAGTTAAAGTATAGTTCAACATCCGAATCAAACTTGTTGCCTTACTTTGAATAATAGTGTCATAAATCTGTTCAATTTGCACAGTTTTAGTAAAATCAGTTTGAATTGGATGTGTCGACTTCAAACTATCCAAATTAAAACTCTTATACATCACTCGCAAAGGGAAATCATTGCTAGTCTGCCACCTTGGTTTCAACTACAAAGAAATGTCAAACTGCTTTTAACGACTGAATCATAAAACTTACACTGCTTTGTACAACTTCTGCCATGAAACTTCCAATTCCTTCGTTTAACCATAGGTCGTTCCACCACTTCATAGTAACAAGATTTCCAAACCACTGATGAGCGAGTTCATGTGCCAGCTTAATGAAAATATGTTGTTTGATTTCCCAATTCCTCGAATACTCTTCTAGAAGAATGGCAGATTTTCTGAAAGATAAAATTCCCCAGGATCCCATTGCTCCTCTTGGAAAGTTTGGTACTGCCAACAGATCAATTTTTGAAAGAGGATACTTAATTCCTAGATAATCTTCTAAAAAGACAAGTATACTCTGGGCTGCTTCTAATGCGTAACGCGCTCTTGGTAGATCTCGTTGTGGGGCCCAGATATTGATAACAGGTCCAGCCGCTGTTGAAGTACTTCTCAGGTTATGGAAATCACAAATAGTGAAAGCTACCAAGTAAGTAGACATTGGAAGAGACGTTTCGAAATGATCCCAAACCCATCCAGGTGCGTTAGTACTAAAACAAGTAAAGAGCTGCTAAATGGATACGTTATATGTTTTACTTACATCGGTTCAGTCTCACGAAGGGGCATATTAGAAAGTACTGTCATGTTTGTTCTTCTGGCTATGGTGATTTCAAACTGGGATTTAAAATTTGGCTCATCGAAACAAGGAAACACGCGCCGAGCGCCGATTGGTTGAAAATTAGTGGTAGCAATCCATCTAAAAATTTATAGTAATGCTAATGAGTTTTCTTAATACTACAAAATACTGCTCACCTAGACTGCCCATTCAGATCTTTATAACTGGTTCTATAAAATCCCGCCAAGTTGTTTGTGATGTTACTTGTCAGTTTAATATTAATGGTGTAGTTGTGATCTACCTCCAAAAGATTTCTCATCACTATAATTAACTTAAAGTTTTCCTCTTCTTTATAAACTTCTTGAATAACAAGCTGGGTACTCTCTGCTCCTATCAGAATTTCATCGGTGGAATTATCTTCGTTATTATCAACCACAATAATGGTATTATTATGAAGCGTGCTGTTTTTTTGGTAGATTTCGGGTTGATCGTTATCACTTTCTTCCTCTTTAGCTAAATTTTCGTATCTTAAAATTGTCGTTTTAAGAGTGGATACTGTCACGTTGTGCTCTGTTATATCTAAGTCATCAACATTTAGTATGATTTTGTTCGTTTTGCTTAAACATCGAACAACGATTTTCACATCTGCTGTGTATGTGAAATTGTCAGGTGAGAATTCGTCTAAAATTGGAAAGATTCGTATACGGTAGTGTACAGGTTTGAGGGTTGTCGGAAGTCGAATATTTTCTTCGGTTTCTTCATTAATTGTTTTGTTAATGAGTTCTTCGATGTCTTTCATATCATCTCGAAGCTGAAAACACAATTAATTGAAAAACATTGTTCAAACTGAAATCCTACCGAAAGTATAAATACTATACAAAAATAAATAAATATTAGTTAAAGCGAGTAATGCGAAATAAATGTACATAAAAAATACAAAACATTATTAATGTACCTATTCCGAAATAAATATTTTGAAGCATTACCCATGCTTATCACACTTTTATTAGTTTCCACACTCTAGAACGGCAAATATAGGGTGTCAAACGAAAACTTCTGTTGAAAATATTTCTGTACATGTTCAATATTCTTGAAAAAGCTGAAAACCATTTTGAGGGATAAAAGGGTATACTACCCTCACCGTTTGAAAGGTTTTGCAAGACATAAGCTAGCTACAAATTCTTGATAAGACAATGCCCGCATGCATTCGTGATAAGTGCTCATTCGGAGGTTGATTTCGGTATTTATTATACAGTTCCTAGAAAGTTGTACTTTTTTGTTTTTTTTTTTTCAGTGGCACACTCCTGTGAAATATTTGCTCTAAACAATTTTCTGAGTGCGCCTTGCATGCAGAGAAGTGCAGAATTTTGATACGAGGCACAAGGTTTTGGTTTATGGTATGGTTTATACTTTATGGTATGGGTATTTACATCCCACTGTGAAATTAAGCTGAGTGATCAACTGTTTCCAAATATTTCTAGAAATACTGTATCTATTATATAGTTACGTTAATCTCCGAAACTATTGGAGTGATTACTGCGAAATGTTAGGTGTTATCATAAAGTCGCAGGCAAAACTTAATAGTCATTAATGTCAAAGTTTTGGGGAGATATGTGTATTATAATATAAATTACGGAATAAACTACACTCTCGGAGGTGTAGATTTAGCCGCAATTCAGTGTGGCAATAATTTATGGTCTCAGTGTCGTATCATATCATATGTATCTGTCAAGTACAGTACAAATCCTCTGAAGTATTAGTATAGGTATTAAATTCCCATAATCTAGATAGAGTATCACTTGTTGCACCAGTTACTTTTGCAACGAATTCTTACTGTGTTATCCTTTATGCAGCTGGTTTATTAGTAGTTATTGGAATTCTTCTTTTCATTAATTACACAGTCGAACAATTTTAGAAAAATTTCTTGTTACAATCATTCTGAAAATGTATTCTGAAAGGTTATTTTGTGCTGAATAACTATCTAATCAGACATTATGCCTACGTCGTCAAAAAAATTTTTTTTGGAGATTGTTCATAGATAGTTCCAGTTAAAGGTGTACTATTGCATAATGGGAATAAATATCTAGTACTGCCGACTACATACTCCATACAAACTGCAGAAACATATGAGAATATTCAACACTTGCTAAACTGTATTAACGACAAAAAATTTGGATGCAATTTGATAGGCGATTTAAAAATTGTAGCTTTAGTAACTGGCTTCCAATCTGGATATAATAATCATATGTGCTTCTTATGGAAGTGAAATACAAGAAAGAAAGCATTGCAACATCTGAAAACAATATTTCCTAAGCTTTCTTCTGCTAAAATAAACCAAGGTAAAAATTAAAAGATTACAGTGAATTTCAGTTTTCATATTATATACGTTTTCTATATTTAGGAATTTTCATTGGGCTTGAAATTCGAATGAAGAATCAAATGTTCAACGCCGATTTGAATGATATGGAAAAATTTACTTGGGAATCAATTAGTGATCAGTGAATTTTTAGAAAACAAACGTTCCACAAATTATGTCTCATTTAAATTTCTTTGCTGATAATTTTTTCATCGAGAAATCAAGTATTGGTCGAAGAAAGATTTAAGACAAAGACCCAAGTATCCATTCTTTCCGAATACATGAGGCTTTTATAGAGAGTTAGATCCTTCTACATATTCTAGGCAGGTTAAATATTCATAGACATGATTAAATATCTGTCGACAGAAATCTATGGAACATTTTTTTTGTGCTTCTTGCGCGTTTTTCTATGTAAAATTAGAATTCACTTCAGTTTTTCTAATTGTTCACCGGAAACAATAAAAATTTGAATAATTTTTTTTTGACGACATGGATATATTATCTCTTTTAAGAGTTGTTCAGCACAAAATTACCTTTCCAACCATATTTACAAAATATATGTAACAAAAACAAAATAAAACATTTATACTCCGCCGGAGTATATACAGGGTTAGTCACGAGAGAATTACTTCTGAAAATTATTTTTACGCAACCCAAAATACGAATACCATGTACCATTTGATACTAACTGAATTTAAAATGAAATGCTTAATCCATGATTGCTTTGAGTTTGGCAATCTCATTTTGACAATTGTGGAAAATGAGGTTACGCGTGTGTCCATGGTGGTACCACAGCCAGTCGGAAATCTCCTCCGGCGCCGCTAATAAATTTGTCAGTGTGCCTCTTGATCTTTTGCAACTGATTAATCACGAGAAAATTATTTCTAAAAATTCCTTTTACGGCATTTTATTCAAAGGTTACAACACAAACTCAAACAAGTAAGTAAATAATTTAACTACTAATCTGTTGAAAATGTTGGGCATTTTGGGGGGATGCTACGGCTTTTTTGTAAATGGATGGCCGAAGAAGTCCAGAGGTTGCAGATTTGCACTTCGAATAGGCTCTAGGTGACGCAGAGATGGCAAATTAACACATGCACATTAGCGGCGAACAACATTGGTAGAGCACTTACGGCTTCAGTATAGCCCAGATTGATCTGACTGTATGTCGTCGATCCAATGGGGCTCTAGAGGCGAGTCAACGATGAAAAAAAATGTTAAAAATTAATTAACGTCAAAGTGACACTTCCAAAGTCAAAGCAATCATGGATTAGGCATTTCATTTTAAATTCAGATAATATCAAGTAGTAGAGGGTATTAGTATTTTGGGTTGCGTAAAAATAATTTTCAGAAGTAATTCTCTCGTGACTAACCCTGTATATATGAATATGTGAAAATCAAAGTGGTTGTCAACCATAGTAACCATGGTAAGTGAAATCAAGGCACTTCCGTAATGAAGCAAGGAGATAGGAATTAATCATTTCAAAAGAAGTTTAATCGTTTGAAAATAAAATATTGTATTTCATTCGAAGTTTAAGTGACTTTATGTGACTTTTATGTACTTAATTCGGATCGCTATCGCTCGGCGTTTAATCGTTCATACTCCGTCACATGAAGTCACTTAAACTCCGAATGAAATACAATATTTTATTTTCAAACGATTAATCTTCTTTTGAAATGATTATTTCCTATCTTCTTGCTTCATTAAGGATTTGCCTTGATTTCACTTACCATGATTACTATGGTTGACAACCACTATGATTTTCACATATTTATACTCCGGCGGAGTATAAATGTTTTATTTATACGCCGGCGGAGTATAAGTTCTATTTATACGCCGCTCAAAAACGCTGTCATAGAAATGACACTTAAACCCCGGTAAGAACGTCATATAAGTGTCAGTTATATGACGTTTGAAAATAAATATCTATTAGTGGAAATAATGCAGTTACAGGTTACAGATTATTTTGGTTTTTTACTTTCCGGACGTTCGCTAGATTATTACAAAAGGTTTATTTGACGAACGGCTAATTTCGTGTTTTCTCGACGTTTCATAGTAATCCAGTAATCTCAGAAATTACTGGACAGATGTTGTAAAATTTTAGATGTGTTTTAAAAATATTGAGTAGATCGTAAAAGTTTGTGTGTTCACCCCCATCAAATATTTGATGACGTTATCTTAAAGTTTGCTAAATAAATCCTACAAGGTGTTTCAAAAACATTTTCATATAGTCACCTCTGGATTTTCCATGCAAATTAAAAAATACCGCTTCACGAAATCAATGACGAAGATAACGATTATAAGGTAATCGTAATTGTTGGTTGCATAACTACAAAATACACTGGAAAAGTGATCAGATAATAATGTAGATATCGACGACAACTCGATCGTTGGAGGGATAAGGCTAACTGAATCTCTGTTTAATTCTTCTGCTTGTTTAAATTTCTTCTTCAAAGTTGGCGATCTTATATTGCACATGGCACAAGTAGGCACAAAGGACAACGATTTTACGTTTTCTCACTTTCGCACTTTTAACGTTTCTACAGAAGTTATAAGAAACACCCTTAAAAAGAAAAATAATCTATTTTGGCTATGAAAAAGGGCGAAAGTTCTTATTGTCAATTTTACAGCAAGTGTTCGAAGTGACCACTTCGTCATACATAAAACCAGACTGCGACGTTTCATTTTGATGGAAATGTGGTGCAATGTGTCATCGCATATTAAGGTAATTTGTTCTATTAATTCCTCCACATTATTTATAGACCTGGTCTTTGATGAATAAAACTATAGAGAGGACTAGTGGAGTAAGATCTGGGAACCTGGCTGGCCAAGTACCTCTGCTCACAACTCGGCCAGGGAAAAACTCTTCAACAAATCCTAAGTTTTCTCAAGTAGTATGAGCTGTAGCTCCATCTTGTTGGAAGAAACCACTTTCAAATTCCTCTAGATGCATCTGTTTTAAAAATGCTCCAACAGTTGTTGCTTGTAACGTTGCCCATTAATGGTAGATACTGTGAAAAAATATTGGCCCAATTATTCTTCGACGTGATTATGGCTAACGATATTCCAATTTTTACGGGATGTAAAAGGTCCTCAATGAAATTATGTGGATTGACGACACTCCATGTTCGGTAATTCTGTTTGATGACATAACCGCTCAAGTAAAACCACGCTTCACTCGAAAAGAAGCCAAGATCAAAAACGTTGTCGTTGTTTAAATTCTCCTGAAAGAAGTTGCAATATTGCATCCGACTATTGTGATCTAGTAGTAAAATTTCTTGCACCAGGGTGATTTTATATGGATGCATGTGCAAACGGTTTTTCAGAATCCTTCTTACTGATCTGAAAAACACGTCAGTTCGAACTGATAGACGACGTAATGATGAATGGAGATTTTTTTCAATAAGCGTCTGCACTTATTCCGTGACATTTTCAATTGTCTGTGGCCTCCCAGTCAATTTTCCTTTTAATACGCTTCCTGTTGTCTGAAATCTGACTATAATTTGGCAGACGCGATGATCTTCAACATTTTTGTTGGGAAATTTTAGTAGAAAGTGTGCTTTGTATTCAGGAATTGAATATTGCCTATCTCCGTTTATTAAGCGTCCACTTCGAAAATAAACTTCAAAAATGAAAGTGTTTTCTTGTATGGTATATATATATATATATATATATTAATTACTTATTAATTTGAAAGTTTTGAATAAATATTGAAAGTGATTGACACTGTATTATTGATTGACAAGTTAAAGTGACACTATTGGCGGAAGTTCAAAAGCAGTACCGTCCGAGCGGCACTACAAGAATTACATTTAAATAAATTCCAAAGATGAAAATCATTTTAAAACACCTTGTATCTAAAATGTGCAAAATAATTGTTTATTCTCTAGCTACTGTTAATTAATCCAATCTTATTTTCAATTTAGCACTTGCACGTCTCTTATAAAAAGTTCAAAATTATATAAAAAAGTTTTACAATTCAACTTTGAAACTGCGAAAGTGATTGCTTTGAAAATTTTGCACACGCTTTAAGATTTTGTGAACTAGGTAAATCGCTAATCAGAAGTTATGAATACAAATCGCACAAAACCGATTATTTTGAAATTTTGCAAAAACTTTATAGTTAATGGCTAATTAAAACTGATCTGTCTGAAAAACTTATTTTGTGTTATCAAAATTATAAGGGGAAAATTAACCTTTATCCAACCTTTTTAGACGCCACTGAAGGATAAATAGGTAAAATTAATTTATTTTAATAAATCCTAGCAACTGTAACAATAATAAAACTTTTATCAAGACAAAGGGACGGTTGCATAAACGCAAATCAAATTTAATCTCTGACTAACTCCATAGTAACGATTGTTATTATCATAGTTACAATTGTTCTTAATCAGAGATTAAATTTGATTTGCGTTTATGCAACCGGCTCTAAAATGTTGCTGTAGAAGCGAAAGATGATCTTTTTATCAGAGGCGTACAACGAATTTGGACATATATTTTAATAATTTTTATCTCTAAAAGGAGAATACTTTTACCTGAACTTTTTTTCACTTTTAGCACCCATACTTCGAGACCAATTGCTGATTTTATTTTGTACATAGCTTTTAATAACACGCTGTATAGTTGAATTAATGTATCTTTTTACACACGTGACCAAAGTATCATACAAGCTCAGACAGCACCTACCATGGGAATCTTTGTTTTAAGGATTACAAAAACGAAAAGTCAGACAAATAGTATGTCTACCGAAATTAGTCCAAATTACGCTCGACGTCTTCCAAAAAGTTCCTTGAATTATAAAAAGATAAAATGCATAATTAATGCGTCCACATCGTGCGACAGGCACTGATGTAGTCAATCTAATAATTCATGGATTTTTCATCAAGCGTCACTGTCATTTTTGGTTTTACTCAGAGTGGTTAATCGCAGTTTTTCGTTGTTCTCAGTTTCAAGTTTTCTATTCAGTTCTTCGTAAATTTCGTTGGTTGTTAGTATTCTTGTTTCGTTGTCCTATTTTCTGTTTTGTTATCGTGTCTCTTGTTCGTGTTTCGTCTACAACATGCCTAGCAAACCTTTGAGATCTCATGCCCAGGACATGGTGTTCAACTTTAAAGAGTATTTTGCTCTTGATAAGGAAAACGGTGGTCCTTTAATCTCATTAAATGCTATAAAACAAGTAAGGAAAAACCACTTGAAGGTTCATGATTAATAATTTCGCTCAAATTTTTAGCGAGTTGCAGATGCTCTAGGCGAAACTCGCCAAACGGTTTCGAAGATTGAAACTCGAAAAGAAAGACTGGGCGTGCTTCCCAGTCCAACAAAATCAAGGCCCAATCGGAAACCGCCGAAAACAAGAGACCTGCCTAAGCCTATAAAAATGGAAATCCGCAGCACAATTTATGACATGTGTAAAAACAGTAGGTTCAAGAAATCCCATAGATACAGTTTTGTAATAACCACGGTCGTCTAGATAGATAACGCTTGACGCGTTATGTGGCCGTCCCACTCCGGGTTTTTAAAAATTTTTGTCAGGTACGAAATGTAGCGCAATCTCATGAAAAGTTTAAATATTACAATTGTCATCGTGGTCATTGTCAACAAGTAAATATTTTAGGTGTCACTGTCAACATTCATGTGCCAAAAGAAAACACATAAATAAACTAGAAAAGGGCAAGTAGAAATGATTTATTATTGTTTAGAAAGTTTTAGAACTTTCTGCTTAAAGGTTTGTTATCTACTAATTTTCTTTTCAGAGAACATGTTCTGCCCACGCAAATGTTGGATAATACTGGTTTTGCTGCTGTTGCAATGATTATCGCACTCAGGTGCATTTGGTGCAGCTCACAACCCAATAAAGGATTTTTGATTAAATTGGGTTGCAAAATTTTGATAAGCTGACCACACGTCTTCTCATATCTTAAATATGGTAAAGTTGCCTGTATTGTGTCAGCTATTTTTTTTTTATTAGACCCACAAATAGTTTATCTGGGTAGAGTAATCGACCACGATCCTGTAGCGTGATCAATTGCATTAAAGGTCCCGGTATTGTGGTCGACACTAACGGTGAAATGCAACCGTCACATCGATGTTTTTGTTATACTTTTAGAATTATGTATCCAGCCAAAAAAGCGACAGATGCAGAATAAAGATTGTTTTCTGGTACTTCGTTTCTAGATAAACCATAAAATTTGCAATTTAAATCATCAAGCATAAGTAAGTCTTCATTATGTTTATTATGTACACCAATAATTGTAGATCTTCTAATTCCAAATTGATTATGACTAATATGATTTATAGGACCTGCAGTGTTATCTGATGCTGAAGCTTTTAAGACGCCACATCGTAAAATTTGTCGTAGACCACATTCAGCAGCTCGAGCATCAGTTGCGTATTTGTACCTCCTTTATACGGATGTGTGAAAATGTGGCTTCCAAGGCGTTAGAACTAAATGTCCGAATTAAGACATAGTAAAATCCTTTAGGAGGAACTCTACACATAGTCCAGTCATTTTAGGATAAAAAAGGGATCAATCTCGGAATGAGAGATAATAAGCTGAATTTTTGTATATACCTTAATTTTGGCGTTTTAAAAGTTGTGTCAAAAGTCTCATAAAATCTCGTGTCTGCGTCGTAAGTTATTCAAGGTCAAAGATGAAGAAAAACAGTTTTTTGCGATTATCTCGGTTTCTATTGCTCCAGTGATGTTAACATCTATTATCATAATTGTAGATCACAAAATTTGGGACAAATTTTATTTGAAACATTTTTTCATGCGCTCAATCGTTTTTGAGATAGAGGGCAGTGAACACGCAGCGCTCATCCATTCGTACTGTAATGCAATCAACCGTGAATATCTATGAATACTACCTTGAATTTTGAAAAATTTGTATTAGTTATCAATTAATACATTGTATTTAAACATTTTACATATTTTCAACATATTCATTGAATAATACTTACCTACTTTGTGTAATTAAAAACGCATTTAATGAAATATTTATTGTATATCTCAATTTATTTATATCTTTAAAATGTGTAAAGTTTTAAATACTTATTTTTCTATCATGATTATAACTGGAAGGTCTGGAAACAACGATTCAGGGCACCGAAGATGATGACGATGAAACAGAAATTCCCGAACGTCCAGAAGATGACGGTGAAGAAGAAGAAAATTAATACTTTTGTTCTTTAAATTATTAAAGATTTCTAGATTTTCACTGCAATTCAATTTCAATCGTAAGAAATGTACAGGTACTGAACAAAGATAAAATTAAAATACATTAACTCGTTTTACTTCCTTAAATCTTTACTTTGAAAAAATTAATATAACTTTTAGATGTATAATAATATAACAAGTATAATATATTATCTAATATATAAAAACTTTCACATTTGAAAGATAAAGTACTTAATTATTTTTCTACTTAAAATCTACTTTCAATAAATTAAGATATACATACAATAAGTATTTCATTTAAAGAGTTTTTAATTCCACAAAGTAGGTAAGTATCATTATCATTAAATGAATGTATTGAAAATATGTAAAATGTTATTAAATGCAATGTATTAACTGATAAATAATACAAATTATTCAAAATTAAAGGTAGTATTCACAGATATTCACGGTTGATTGCATTACAGTACGTATGGATGAGCGCTGCGCGCTCACTGCCCTCTGTCTCAAAAACGATTGAGCGCATGAAAAAATGTTTCAAATAAAATTTGTCCCAAATTTTGTGCTTTACAATTACGATAATAGATGTTAACATCATTGGAGCAATAGAAACCGAGATAATCGCAAAAAACTGTTTTTCTTCACCTTTGACCTTGAATAACTTACGACGCAGACACGAGATTTTATGAGACTTTTGAGACAACTTTTAGAACGCTAAAATGAAGGTATATACGAAAATTCAGCTTATTATCTCTCATTCCGAGGTTGATCGCTAATTTGACTGGACTAACACAAAAATGCACTTTTTGCAATAAATTTCAGTGCCTGTGCAGTTTCATTGCTTAACCCTTCGAACCCATTGCAGGCCGAAATCAACTGAATGTCGTCAATATAATTTTGAAATGTTACATTCAGCCTATGCAGACGTTCATCTGAAATGTTGACATACGGTGCAACACTGATGTCAAAGGCGTGGATGTAGTGATTTTTAGAAGTTTATTGCACTTTTATCACAACAAATACAAATAAAATTAACAATATTAAAAAAATCCGTTTGCAGCAGCATTCGAACCTGCGTTGTTATGCAACGACTGTAATCACAACGACGGAAATGAATAAATAGCATGTTTGCGAAAACCTTTTCTTATAAAGTTTTCCTTATGCTTACAATTATAATTTATAATTATAGTTATAAGTATAAATTGTAACAGTTATGCTGACGGCTTAGAACCTTACATTGACAAGCAGAACTGACTTTCTGTCACGCAAATTGATTCATTTTGCCCATGAATAATTTAGAAATTTTGGCTACTTTTGGCAATACAGAAGATGTACAGAACTACTTAGTGCATCAGTTAATACAAAAAGAGTTAACAGAAAAGCGTTATTCATATACGTGTGTTAAATTCAACATGAATAGCATTCCGCCAGAAAACTTTCGTTTTCTTTTTCGATTTGAAAAAGAACATATAATTAAATTACATCAAGCTTTGCAAATGCCTGCAAAATGGGTTACACCAGATGGTCATGTCATTGAAGGTTTATTATTATCTACAATCGAGAAGAAATTCCGTATTTTTAAACACTCTTCATTTATAGGTCTTGCAGGATTATGTCTCGTTTTAAGACGATTTTCTTACCCAAACAGACTAAAAGGATTGCAAAATGAATTTGGATTACATTTTTCGTCAATCAGTAAAATTTTAAAGTTTGTTGTTACTTTTATATTCAAGAAATGGGCCAAGTTATTATTAAATTTTGATAAAAACATATGGTTAACGCAAGGTTTTCTCGCAGAGGTGGCTGCCTTCGTACATAAGAAAGGTGCTCCTTTAAGAAATTGCATTGGGTTTATCGATGGTACTGCCCGGGCAATTTGTAGACCATCAAAATTTCAAAAAGAAGTTTACAGCGGGCATAAAAGAATACATTGTCTGAAATTTCAATCAATCACCGTTCCAAACGGTATCATTTTACATTTAAGTCCTCCGTATTCTGGCAGACGACATGACTCTTTTATCCTTAAAAATTCAAAAATCTTAGAGCAAATGAAGCTCCATTGCCCACAGTTTTGTTTATACGGAGACGAAGGGTATCCATTAGTGCAACAATTAATAAGACCATTTTCTAATCATAATTTAACAGAGCAGCAACAAATGTTTAATACCAAAATGTCCAAAATACGCCAATGCGTAGAATGGAGTTTTGGTAAAATAACAACGCAATTTGCGTTTGTTGATTTAAAAAAAAATCAAAAACTTTTTCTGCAACCAATAGGTCAGTATTATATTGTGGCTGCATTACTAACGAATGCGCATACATGTTTTTATGGAAGCACAACTTCTCGATACTTCGATATAGAATCACTAGATATTATGGAATATTTTCAATAATTTCTTTTTAATCAAACAGTTACCTTTAATTAATATGTTATTATTAAATAAACATTTAAAAGCTGTAATTATTTCAAAAATTATGTCAGATTTTTATTATTTAAATTTTGTGTTAAAATGTTTTCCAAAAATCTGTTTAAAATTGCATTTTTTTGTCTTTCTATTTTACGGCCCTCTTCCTCCTCTTGCCATTTTTTCTGTTCGAACTCAAGTTTAGCTTTTTTGAATTCCAACTCTTCTATTTGAATTTTCATATTATCTTGATGTTGCTTTTCTTTAAATCTTAATTGTTCTTGTTGTAGCTGACTTTCCCGTTTCATTTTTTCAATTAAATATGAAAAACTTGTTCCATCTTTAGTTCCATTTCTCGTCTTTCGTGCTGCTGCTGTATAAACCCTGCTAGATTCTTGGTTGAACCCTTCACGACCCCCACGCTCACCATCAATATCAGTGTCATTAAAATCGTCAACAGTGTGAAAAAATATTTCATTGTCCACGTCAGTGGCTTCTGTTTCTAATATTTGTTCACTATTACAACTTTCAATAGGATTGTCCAAACTTTGCAGAGCAGCTTGGCGAATTGCTTTTGCAGGCATAACCTCGTCGAATTTTTGGCCACTGCATCTTTTTTTACCCCGTTCATTTTTTTTATTTTCTATGTCAATTTGTGCCACATCTTCATATTGCGACCAGACAGTCAGAAGTTTTCTAACAGCGTCGCCCCACTCAGTCTGTATCCGTTCTTTCCCACTTTCTGTAGCTTCGTCGGCATCAAATTTTCTAAATTTTATTACTCGTTCCAACATATGATCTTTTAATAATTTGAAGCTACAGTTCTGAAAGCGCTCTCTTTCGTCTTCACTTACGACTGCATGAAGTTTTTTCCACACATCTTCTTCGTTTGTAAATTCAGTCTCGCAAAGAAGGTCGAATAATGC